GGAACATTCACAGCTCCCTGGGGCAGCCTGTTCCAGTGCCTCACCATACTCATAGTAAAGAACTTCTTCCTTATATCCAACCTAAATCTCCTCTGTTTCAGTCTGAATCCATTCCCCCTTGTCCTATAACTACAGTCCCTGATGAAGACTTGCCCTGTCTTGTGAAATAGATTCTTAGAACCACCTTTTGATGAATAAAAATGGGTTTTTTTTTTTTCCAGTATTTTCAACTGATTTTTTAAATGAGGATCTTTCTCCACAAAAACCAGAAGTCGCTGAACTCAAAAACCAGACATCCAAGTTTCCAGCTTCTGGACATTTAAAATCGACAGTTCTGTGCATCTTAGATATGAAAGGGATGTGTTTAGGAGGGTTTATATTAGCTGGCTACAGTACACAGGGCAAATAACTACAAAATCTGTCACAGAAAATAGATTAAACTTGGGACAAGCAGAAAACTTGACCCTCTCCCAGTCTGCAATCCCACAGGATCCCTGGAGACATGAGGACTGACTGAAGCCACGCATTTTTCATAGGAAGGGTCCATGTGTGTTGCTCACCATGAGGGAGAACTGAAGGTGTGTTTCCTTAGACCCAGGAGGAAGCAGAGCTCGCTGCCTGCCCCTGCAAGCTGCATCCCCAGCCAAGCAATCTTCTGTAATGGGACGGGTTTGTCACCTCTGGTTCCTGGCCAGCCTTTCACTGGGACACCCTCCTGCAGCACCAGCACTTCCAGATAAATCTCCCAGTTTGGACTTCCACGGGCTTGTGACAAACTTCAATAAACCACCCTCTGGTTTATGTATTTTTTAATTTGTAGGGAGTGTAATTACCTGTTCGAGGGCTCTGCATCCCTCTTGGAAAATACCACCTGGAACTGTTTCCACTGTTCCTAAGGAGCTGTCAGACCACCTCCTCTTTGAGGCATTAATAACAAAAATAGAGCCCACTCACCTGGGGCTGTCACCCTGACCCTGACCTGTTCACCACACAATCTGAGATGATGGGAAGATGACACCTTCCACTAGAGCAGGTTGCTCCAAGCCCCTGTGTCCAACCTGCCCTTGAACACTGCCAGGGATGGGGCAGCCACAGCTTCTCTGGGCACCCTGTGCCAGCGCCTCAGCACCCTCACAGGGAACAGCTTCTGCCTCAGAGCTCATCTCAGTCTCTCCTCTGGCAGGTTCAAGCCATTCCCCTTGTCCTGTCCCTCCATCCCTTGTCCCAAGCCCCTCTCCAGGTTTCCTGGAGCCCCTTTAGGCACTGGAGCTGCTCTAAGGGCTCCCCTTTAGGAGCCTTCTCTTCTCCAGGCTGAGTACCCTCAGCCTCACAAGCCCCACTCTGAACCTGGCTTTAGGGCTTTAAGAACTATCAGTAGCTCAGATGATCCTTCCAACCCAAACCATTCCATGATCCTATGGCCCCAGCCACAGGGAAAAAGGGCATCCAGGAGGACCCCAACTCAGTTTGGGGGTTTGAGGAGGATCTGAGCTCTGTGCCAGGCACCCCAAGTGCAGACGGACAAGCCGTGGCTGAAGCTGGAACCGGCCTTTCCCTAAATCCCCCGTTTTCCCAAGGTTCCTCCTGGTTTTCCCGTCGCCCCCACCCCCAAGCATTCCTTTCGGTAATTACTACACCAGGTTTTAGGTTTCCGCTTGAAGCCATTAGTGGAGCTGGAATCAGGACAGGCACTTTAACTGTCCTCTCCGTGCACCATTAGCAAGGAAAAACATTTAAACAACTGACATCAGACTGCATTTACATTCAAAATTCAATATCCAGGACCCTCCAAATTCAGACCATCAGTGCAGGACGGGGCCGATTTTGCCCAAAGCTGCCTAAAGAGGCATCCGAGTCGGGCTGTTTTTGCTTGGGTTTTTCTTTAAATACAAGCTGATTTTGCCTGTAGCAGCATTTATAAGGGGGGGGGAAAAAAGGTTTCTGCAGAGTTTTGAATGTCTCGAAAGACAAGACTTAACAGGAAACAGTGAGGAAAGCCTGAGGCAAGTACTTAGCTCATACAGGCATCACAACACTTTTTCCACAACTCACACAGTCATTTCAAGATAAAATTCCCTGTCAAAA